TTGATGATTAGAAATAAATAGTCAAAATAAAAATGGAAAACTAATTTTTTTTTTACTTTTTCAGTTTAAATGTAAAATAAATGTAAAGCAAATAAATTAGATCAAAGCTATTAAAAAAACCCGAGATATGTGAGCAATTCTTTTTTTCTTTTTTTTTTTTGAAATATGTAAAAGAACAAACTTAGATGATTTTGGATCTAAATATACATATAAATATTTTTATATTATATATAAAAGGTGCAAACACGAATTAAAAGAAAAAAAATGCAAAGATTGATAGAATGGAAGGATATAACCTTGCTGAAGGAACTTCAGCTCTGATACCAAAAATGAAACAAGCACGGGATTTAAATCGTGATGTATGATCCTCAGTCCTGAGCCTTAGCGAATCAGACAGATAGCCGAGGGATGAGTGATCAAATGGGACCTGAGAGTTGGGTCGAGCAGCCGAGGAACTCAGGCTATGGGACAGTTGGTGGGACGGGACATAGGACAGTACACGCGTGACGAGTGGTGGTACCAGCGGGACGATGGACAGTTCGTTGCGTGACGATGGACAGTTCGACGCGTGACGAGGGACAGTATGACGCGTGACCATGGATGGTACAACGCGTGACGAGGGACGGTACGATGGACGATAAAATTTGGCCGAATGGTCGAGGAACTCAAACGATTGGACCGGGGTACGAACTGACCACACAAATATGATCGGGGGGTTCGAAATATACCACAAAGGCTATGGATAGGCCTTTGCTACAACACAAGGTTTCTCTTTAGTTTTTGGAGGTGCTGGTCTCAACAAAAATAAGGAGACGATCACAAGATTTGTTAATAATCTTAGTGAAGAAATTTCGGTATTTTATTAGAAAATCAAAGGTAACCAAATTACAATGCTGCAGGGAAACCTTATATAATGGTTCTTCAGCTTTAGGGAATTAAAATAAATGTAAGAAAAAATACAAAAGTGCAAGACCGAAAATACATAAGTGTATTAACAAAAATTAGATAAATTAAATCAAAGAAATAAGCTAATGCAAATGAAAGGGAGAAAAGTTTGAGATTAGTCAAGATAACAAATATGATTGAATTAACTTAACACTTACCTTGTTTGCTTGTTTTGAAACCGAATGATTTGCAAGCTTTGACCGTTTTTAGCTGGTTTGATCTTGAATGATAAAAATGTTGTCGTGGGCTTCACTTGTTATTAAGGGCCAGCTTTCTTGAGTCTTTGTTGGATCCGCAACTTCAATAATGTCCAATGCGTCGGTCCATGCATATTTCACCATAAGACTTTGGCTTCCTTGATTTGATGTGGTCATGGCTTGAAGAATGGATTGATTGTATTTGTTTTGAAGTGAGCGCGCTCGTTGTCTCGTCATGACTCCTTTGTTTGGAACCGGTATCTCTAATTCTTAAGAATCTTGTAGTTGTGGCTCGGTTAAGTCTGGTTCAGTTGAGATGTCCTGATACCAAAAATGATACAAGCATGGGATTTAAATCGTGATGAATGATCCTCAGTCCTGAGCCTTAGCGAATCAGATAGATAGCCGAGGGATGAGTGATCAAATGGGACGTGAGAGTTGGGTTGAACAGCCGAGGAACTCAGGCTATGGGACCGTTGGTGGGATGGGACGTAGGACAGTACACGCGTGACGAGTGGTGGTACGAGCGGGACGATGGACTGTTCGTTGCGTGACGATGGACAGTTCGACGCGTGACGATGGATGGTACGACGCATGATGATAGAATTTGGTCGAATGGTCAAGGAACTCAAACAATTGGACCGAGGGACGAACTGACCACACAAATATGATTGGGGGGTTCGAAGTGTACCACAAAGGCTATGGATAGGCCTTTGATACAACACAAGGTTTCTCTTTAGTTTTTGGAGGTGCTGGTCTCAACAAAAATAAGGAGAAGGATCACAAGATTTGTTAATAATCTTAGTGAAGAAATTTTGGTATTTTATTAGAAAATCAAAGGTAACAAAATTACAATGCTGCAAGGGAACCTTATATAATGGTTCTTCAGCTTTAGGGAATTAAAATAAATGCAAGAAAAAATACAAAAGTGCAAGACCGAAAATACATAAGTGTATTAACGAAAATTACATAAATTAAATCAAAGAACTAAGCTAATGAAAATGAAAGGGAGAAAAGTTTGAGATTACTCAAGATAACAAATATGATTGAATTAACTTAAACACTTACCTTGTTTGCTTGTTTTGAATCCGAATGATTTGCAAGCTTTGACCGTTTTTAGCTGGTTTGATCTTGAATGATAAAAATGTTGCCGTGGGCTTCACTTGTTATTAAAGGCCAGCTTTCTTGAGTCTTTGTTGGATCCGCAACTTCAATAATGTCCAATGCATCGGTCCATGCATATTTCATCATAAGACTTTGGCTTCATTGATTTGAAGTGGTCATGGCTTGAAGAATGGCTTGATTGTATTTGTTGAGCGCGCTCGTTGTCTCGTTGTGACTCCTTTGTTTGGAACCGGTATCTCTAATTCTTAAGAATCTTATAGTTGTGGCTCGGTTAAGTCTGGTTCAGTTAAGATGTCCTTATCATCCACACAGTTTCGGAAATCATTTTCCGAATGGTCACCCATCCTAGTCCTATTCCAACTCAAGCACTCTTAACTGTGGAGTTTTCTCGGAACCAGTGACCGAAAAAATAAATATATTTTGATAATATAGATAATAAATCAATCTATTTAAATTTATTTAAATGGGCCGGACCGAGCCCAGATCGTTACAATCTGTTGGAGCCTTCGTAGGAGAATATCCGTCTGCCTTTGAAAAGCCGGCCAAGCATTAGGCCTCATAATTGCTCCACCCAATTCAAAAACATCTGATGCAAATATAACATTATCTACGTGTAAGCTACACATGCCCTCCATAGCTCAAAGTAAGTCCAGCAACATTGCCTCATAGTTGTGCAGTACCCAACCTACGCCTCCTATTATTTTTATCTCGGACCCCGCAATCCCAATATTGCACTTCAAAGAACCCATACAAGAAGGTTTCCATTTCTTATTACCCCATTATCAATGAAGTAATTCATCTCCTTCGACATCCCGGAACATATTTTTTAATAATTAACATCGTGAATTACACGCATAAGAAGTTCGGTGTCTGATCTGGTGACTGGTAGATACATTGCATGTTCTGATTAGTCAATTAGTCAACACGTCATTCCTAGTATTCATAAATCTTTTTTTTTTGAACATTAGTATTCATAAATCTTTGTCCTTTTCGCCCTCTTTTTGTTTTGTTTTATAGTATGTGAAATTGTTGGGAAAGTTAGCGTTAACAACAATTACCAGCTACAGATTTTACATATTTATAATACACACACGAATCAACTTTAATCTAACAAGCTCCACGGTTATGGCCACGATGCATATATACAAATTCAACTTTCATTTTACGTGGTTTCCATTTCACATAATCGTCTTCTATATATTTTGTTCTAATCTTTAAAGCTCATTTTGTTTGTTAAGCTTATCACAAGCTCTTTTGCTTTCAACAAAAAGTTTAGATGTGTAATAAATAATAATAAGCAAACGACGTGTTGGCCACTGTGCATGATGCCTCTTGTTAGTAATTGATAAAAATAAATTAATAAACTATATTTTGACGAACGTTTTGACGAAATAAAAATATATAGTTGCAGGAACGAGTCCACGAAAATTTGCATGACCAAATGAATAATCTCATGTCCGTGATCCATCAAATTTTGAATGACTTTTTAGTCGGATAGTTCCCTGACCCTGCCGACCAAAAAAAAAAAAAACGAGAACGAAAGGCGTTATCTAAAATTGTATTTTCTCCGGTCTCCGAGAACTTGTGTTTTACAACTCTCTAGAAAGTCACAACTCAAAATTGTATAGTTTCTATGAAATCTTTAAATTTAAATTCTAATAATCGAGACTGTATATGCATATATACAAATGCTCATTCTGTAAAAATCGATTAAGTTTTGAAAAATTCTAGAATTTACTTAATATAAAATCTTTGGGGTTAACATGACTTTTTTTTTTTGGTAATAGGGGTTAACATGACTTTTTTTTTTTTTTGGTAATAGGGGTTAACATGACTTGATCCACATAAAGCCATGCTCTCGAATAATGATTTAAGGTTCTAATTGTCAACTTGAGAAATTCCGAAATTTAAAATTCATATTTCTTCCCGTTTACCGGTCAACGCTTCAGACAATCCTACATTTCTCCACTTTGTATAATTTCTAACCGATTTTTAAAAAAAAATTATAAGGCGAATCTTATTTAGATAGTCTCGATTTTCCTTTCAACCTTTAAACCATAATGGTTTCCACTAAAACCTTCTATCAACAATCAACATCAACACACAAAACCGTATATCAGGTGTTCATTATCAAAATTTAGTGGATGCAAAATCAAAATTAGATAAAAATTATACTAAATTCCTCTCCCTTAACTTTCGCCCCTGTGGTTCGTGATCCAAACCTTTTAAACCTACCAATTTTATAAAGAGCCGACCCAATGAAAAGTAAAAAAAAAAAGAGAGAATTAATGTTCAAACGAAACAAATACAAAAATCTTGATAATGACAAGAAAAGAAAAAGAGAATCGACTATCAGTGACCAACCACTTTATATCAAACATAGACTATTATATCAATTTATACCATTTTCTTTACATCTCTTTTTAGTATTAATAGACTAATAGCAGTAAATAGGCCCGTCCCTAGTCCTTACCTCTCTCAATAGATTTTTCTGCTCGATCTAATTGATTGTAATAAAAAGAAGTTGGTAACGAAAATATAAATGCTAATGGGTCACTCACAGAAAATTAAAAGAGCGATAATAATAATACATAATGTAAATAAAATTGCATAAAAGACAGAGTCAAATATGGAGAAGAACGAAGGGTGCGTCTCGTCTCCTCTTCCCACTCTTAAATCCATCATCGTCTTTCTTCTTCATCTTTTCAAAATCCAAAATTGAAAACAAACAAAATGGAGACGAAACCAAACCCTAGACGACCCTCGAGCAGTGTTCTTCCTTACGAAACACCCAGATTAAGAGATCACTACCTCCTCGGCAAAAAGCTAGGCCAAGGCCAATTCGGAACAACCTATCTCTGCACAGAGAAATCATCTTCCGCTAATTACGCCTGCAAATCGATTCCCAAGCGCAAGCTCGTGTGCCGCGAGGATTACGAGGATGTGTGGAGAGAGATTCAGATCATGCATCATCTCTCCGAGCACCCGAACGTGGTTCGGATCAAGGGTACTTATGAAGATTCCGTCTTTGTTCACATTGTGATGGAGGTCTGTGAAGGTGGGGAGCTTTTCGATCGGATTGTTTCAAAGGGGCATTTCAGCGAGCGTGAGGCTGCGAAGTTGATTAAGACGATTCTTGGTGTTGTTGAGGCTTGTCATTCGCTTGGTGTTATGCATAGAGATCTCAAGCCTGAAAATTTCTTGTTTGATAGCCCTAATGATGATGCTAAGCTTAAGGCTACAGATTTCGGGTTGTCTGTCTTCTACAAACCAGGTTTGTGTTTTTCATGAATCCAAATCTCACAGCATTTCATGAATCAAATCGTTTTTTTTTCCAAGTGGGTTTGTCTTCGTTTGCTGATTGATTGCTTATCCTTGATACACTGTTCAAGAATGTCTTGTTTGGTTTCTTGATTCAAGAAATGGTCGAAAATCGGATATCTTGTTGCTTAAGCATTGTTAGGGAGACGTTGATTTTCTTTGGACAGATTCTTTCCGAATTAGGCTTTGACATTTAGTTGAGATACACTGCTCAAGAAATGTTTCATTTTGTTTCGTGATTTAAGAAATGGTTCAAATCTGCTGAAGAATACGGTTTCTTGATAAGATATCTGCAGGATCTTGTTGCTTGAGCATTTTTAGATAAACATGTGTTTCCTTAAAACAGATTTTTCTGAATTAAGCTTTGACACTTGAGACATTCAAATGTGTTAATCCCAAGAGTTCTATGGTTCTGTTATATGTATCATATGTTTATACTTAGGCAGAGATGCTTTAGAGCTAAAATTTATTTGTTAGAGATATTGGTTTTCTTTAGACAAATTTTTCTGAATCAAGCTTTGACATTTTAGTTGAGATATATCAAATATGTTGATCGCAATAGTATTATTGGTTTCTTTATTCAATAAATGGTTCATATCTGCTGAAGAACACGATTTCTTGATAAGATGCTGCAGGATCTTGTTGCTTGAGCATTGTTAGGGGAACATTGGTTTCCTTTCGACAGTTATTTTCTGAATTAAGCTTTGACATTTCAGTTAAGATATATCAAATGTGTTGATCGCAATAGTTAAATGGTTCTGTTATATGCGTATGCTTGTGCATGAAAAGCCTTTAGATCTAGAATGTGTCTGGACAATTCACTTGAATATTTTGTTGTTTCTCTTAATGGCAGTATTTGTATGACATTGTTGTTGAGATATGTCAAATCTGTTGATCGCAAGAGTTCTATGGATTCTGTTATATGTCACATACGCTTATGCTTATGGAGAGAGATGTCCTTAGAGCTAGAATGTGTCTGGACAATTCAATTCTTAACAAAATTGCCAATTTTGTTGGTTTCTGCTCTTCAGGGCAGTATCGTTATGACATTTTAGTTGAGATATGTCAACTGTGTTGATCGTAAGAGTTCTATTGATTCTGTTATATGTAACATACGCTTATACTGCCTTTAGAGCTAGAATGTGTCTGTTTGGACAATTCACTGTTTAACATAAGTGTCATTTTTGTTGTTCTTGTTCTTCAGGGCAGTATCTGTATGATGTAGTCGGAAGTCCGTATTACGTTGCACCAGAGGTTCTGAAGAAATGTTATGGACCAGAGATAGACGTGTGGAGCGCCGGTGTTATCCTTTACATTTTACTAAGCGGTGTTCCTCCTTTCTGGGCAGGTAAGTTTGTAAGAATCCATTACCTTTGTCACTAACCAAATCACAACACATCTCTTATGTGAGTTTATGCATAATTGCTTGCAGAAACCGAGTCAGGAATCTTTAGACAGATTTTGCAAGGGAAGATAGATTTCAAATCCGACCCGTGGCCTAGTATCTCAGAAGGTGCTAAAGATTTGATTTACAGAATGCTCGATAGGAGCCCCAAGAAACGCATCTCTGCACATGAAGCATTGTGTAAGTTGTTTTGGTAATGATTGTTTCCTTCTCCTTTCGTTTTTGATTCCCTCTGATGTTTTCCTCTGAATGTTTATTAGGTCACCCGTGGATCGTTGATGAACATGCTGCACCAGACAAGCCTCTAGATCCAGCAGTCTTGTCGCGACTAAAGCAGTTCTCGCAAATGAATAAGATCAAGAAAATGGCCTTAAGGGTAAGAAAGTTGTAGAAATTTTTTTCTCTTTCTTTAATCTGTAATTCCCATTTCTTGTTTTCAAGAACTGGTTTCTCTGTTTAGGTAATCGCTGAGAGACTCTCGGAGGAAGAAATTGGTGGTCTGAAAGAATTGTTCAAAATGATAGATACGGACAACAGTGGAACAATCACCTTTGAGGAGCTTAAAGCTGGTCTGAAGAGAGTTGGATCTGAACTAATGGAATCAGAGATCAAGTCTCTTATGGATGCGGTATGATACCACAAACATAAACCCTCTTTTAGAATATCGGTTTCTTGAACGAAAGATGTTGTGTTAGATTCTAACTTTCTAAGAATCACGGTGTCTTGCAGGCGGATATAGACAACAGTGGGACGATAGACTACGGTGAGTTTCTAGCGGCGACACTACACATGAACAAGATGGAGAGAGAGGAGAATTTGGTGGTTGCGTTTTCATATTTTGATAAAGATGGGAGCGGTTATATCACTATTGATGAGCTTCAACAAGCCTGCACAGAGTTTGGTCTCTGTGACACTCCTCTTGATGACATGATCAAAGAGATTGATCTTGACAATGTAAGAGGAAGAAGAAGTCTTTAATGATCTATTTACCTTTTCTTCTCTTGTTTCTTTGTGAGTTTGGATTGTATAAACTGATGATGAAAATGCGGCGTTTTGGTTAGGATGGGAGGATCGATTTCTCGGAGTTTACTGCAATGATGAAGAAAGGAGATGGAGTTGGAAGAAGCAGAACCATGATGAAGAACTTGAACTTCAATATAGCTGATGCTTTTGGGGTTGAGGAAAGTAGCAGCACTGCACAACCTGATGATACACCAAACTAGTATATAATATTTTATATACATTTTGGAACTGAAAAATGAGAAACCCACAAAAGAAAAACTGAATCTTTTATCTCTCTTTTTGTTTTTCGTTTAAATATTTTTGTAGATGAGCAAACTTTCTAAATTTTGTTATAGCATGGGATAATTTGCTTCATGTTTTTTTGCCATTCATTAAGTTTTCAATCAAAATTTAAATGTTTGCAATCTATGGTAACATAGTGATATAACCGCTCCCATTTTCAAAGTCTTACACAAGTTACAACATGTTGTAGAATATGTTCTTGTGAAATTTGAAAGCCTTTAGCATTTGTCAAAAGTAGTCAAACATTTTGACAAGTAGGGATACGGCAAAATATAATTGACTACTTTTGACAAATGCTAAAGGCTTTCAAAGTTCACAAGACCATATTCTACAACATGTTGTAACTTGTGTAAGACTTTTTGGTTTAAGTAACTCTTGTAATGGCAATACGCACCAAAAAAAAAAAACTCTTGTAATGGCAGTTTGTTGCATTAAAATTCTTTTTTTTTTGTTTAAATTACGTTATATGTTAAATCTGAAAAGTTATAATAACTTCTTTTGTGTAAAAAAAAGAAAAAAGAAAAAAAGTTTGTGCAGTTGCATTAATTTTCTTTATAGTTAGATCGCTAAACCTAGGGTTCAAAGTGATGCAAGATGAATGTTACAGATTTTGAATTTTTTGTTTTTTGGTCAAAATTGTTTTGTTTTTATTCATCTAAATCAAAGGTAGTCTATACAAAGAGGAAACACATATGAAAACGCTACCATAGCTAAACCAACTGCAACACATAATGTAGAAATATGAGAAATTAAAAAGATAGATGGAGAAGAAGAGAATAACAAGATTTAGTACACTATGTAGAGAGTCTGTAAACTCGTTCAGTTCCCTTCTTAGCAAAGGAGTAATAGTTAGGACATTTGAGTCTAAAACCACTTGAAGTAAGGTAACACTGAGAATGCATCATTGAGCGCCAGTAAGGGCTTCTTGAAGCAGCAAAAGCAGGGATGCTTGGGTGTCTTCGCTGGGCTTGAAGTAAGGTAACACTGAGAATGCATCATTATGTCTCACACTACTTTAGTTTTTCTTTGTCACTAAGGCTGAAAAATCGCCATTGTTCGAGTTTTCAAGCATTTCATTTTGTAGACCTTAATCTTGCTTTAATCATTAAGTATTTCTTTAATCTTTCTTGCTTAATCATGATTATCTTTCTTTCCTTTGCATCTTCGTGTGTTTTAGCTATGTGTAGTGAGTAGTTTCCCTTGGATTTGAGGTTGGGGCGATTAAAAGGGTTTAAGAGGTTTAAGCTTGGGACTTTTTTCTTGTTCTTAATCTATTCTCTTCTTGGATTTTGGCTCATAGTGCTTAAAGAGTCTTGGGAAAGATCTTTATGATCTCAGAGATCTCCTTACCTTGGCGGGATTCAGGAATCTCTTAAAACCATATCCAAGAGACTAGCTCATCCTTTCCCAAATGCCATGGATGCTTAAAGAGCTAGTTATGCCATTATTTGAGATCTATGCTTAATGTTCTTTGACCCATCTTTCCACCACACACCATGGGTTAGGAGGAAGGGTTGAGGAAAGGGTTTATACCACACGCCATGGATAAACCTCTTTTAGCTTCTCAAGGCTTAGAGATAACACAAAATGTGTAGCTCTTATGTTTTCAAAACCCAAGCTTGAATCTTGAACCTTCTTAACATGACCCTCAACCTTGGATCCTCTTTTAGCATTTAAAAACTTAAAGTTATCATTTCCTAGTCATAAAGTTTGCTTCTTTAGTCTTAAAAGTCATTGTTCTAGGTTGTTAGAAATTCTCTGTTTATCTGCCTTTAGGGTTAATAAATTAGTAGTCTTGCTTTTTAAATTCCTAGAAGTTATCTGCTAGTTGTTTAACCTTTAAGAGAGGGGATTTTAAAATAGTTTTCTTGGTCATTTAGCATTTGCATTTAGTTTTCATAGAATTTCTCCTCCATTTACCCGATTTCACTTAGATTTACAAAGTTCTTGCATTCCTAGTAACTTTCATCAACCTAGGATGAATTGATACCCCTCACCACTATACTACATCATTATCTTGGTTTGGGTTTGATTCTAAAACAGCTTGCATAACAAAACCTGTTTATCAAATGACGCCGTTGCCAACTTGGGTTTGAGTTGAAAGTATTAGGATTTGGAGCTTGTAGAGACTAAGTTCTTATTTTTACTTTGGTTACTAATTTATCTACCTTCCTACTTGCTTTCTCAGGTACATGAATTTGAGGTCTAGTGGTGACAACAATCTACTACAACCTCTAGACAACATTCATCAACTCGGAAGTGCAAGAGAAAGAAGGGCAAGAGAACAGGAACAACACTTTGAGGAGATATTGCAACCAGATCTTCTTGATTTTGAGGTCATGGCTGAGATAGATCAAGCTGAGGCTCCACCTCACCGTGCTGCTGCTGGAAGGGGTATTAGAAACCCCAACCACGCCCCAAGAGCACCAAGGATCATCGGTGCTGGTGATGCACCTAACACACATCACAACCGTTTTGGCATCACTCCACCACCGGTGCAAAACAACAACTTTGAGATCAAGCCAGGTTTTGTCTCAATGGTGCAGAACAACAAGTTCCATGGGCTTGCAATGGAGGACCCTTTGGAGCATCTTGACAACTTTGAGCTAGTTTGCGGAATGATAAAGATCAATGGGATCTCAGAGGATAGCTTCAAGCTTAGGGTTTTCCCTTTTTCATTAGGGGATAAAGCAAGGCATTGGGAGAAGACCTTACCTCAGGGGACTATAACATCATGGGCTGATTGCAAGAAGGCATTTCTGTCTAAGTTCTTCTCCAGCACAAGAACAGCTCGACTAAGGAGTGAGATTAGCGGTTTTACACAAAGGCAGAATGAGACCTTTAGTGAAGCAATGAAGCGGTTCAAGGACTACACCATTGCATGTCCTCATCATGGATTCAGTGAGGAGACACTCTTGAGCACCATCTATAGAGGAGCCCTTCCCAAGATTCGAATGCTCCTAGACACGGCAAGTAAAGGAAACTTTCTTGGTCAAAATGTAGAAGAGGGAATGGAGCTCATTGAGAATCTTGCTTTGAGTGATGGGAACTATGCTGAAGACTATGATAGAGCACCTAGAGGGTCTGACCTTGAGGCAAACAAGAATGAGCTGAAGTCTCTCCTTGAAAAGATTGACAAGTTAGTACTTGCAAATCAAAAGCATGTACACTTTGTGGGAGAAGCTGAAGATGTTCTAGATGAGTTAGAGCTGAGCCAAGAAGAAGCGAATTGGGTAGGAGGACAGAACTACAACAAGCCACAGGGCTATGTTCAAGGGTATCAAGGCAACAACAACCTCTCTTAGCGAAGTACCAATGTGGAGAACCCTAAAGATCAAGTGTACCATCCACAACAAGGCAAACCTTTTGTTCCTTATATCAAAGGAGAGTTTACACAATGAAGCACAAAGCCTTGTTTGAGAAGCACATAAGGAATGTTGAGATCAAACTGCCCTTGGTTGATTGTTTAGCAATGATGCCAAAGTATGCTAAGTTTTTGAAGGATTCGCTTGCTAAGAAGAACAAGGAGAGTGAAGAGGTCTTGGTGTTGAGTCAAGAATGCAGTGCGATCATCCACAAGGAGATAGCACCAAAGAAGCTAGGAGATCCGGGGTCATTCACTATCCCTTGTGCACTAGGTCTTTTGAAGTTTGAAAGCTGCTTATGTGATCTTGGTGCAAGCATTAATCTTATGCCTCACTCTATTGCCTAAAAGCTAGGTTTCACCAAGTTTAAGGAGTGTAGGATCTTTCTCATTCTGGCTGATAGAAGTATAAGGCTCCCTGTAGGCTTGCTTGAAGACTTACCCGTGAGGATAAGCAATGTGAATGTGTCAACAGATTTTGTAGTGCTAGAAATGGATGAAGAACCAAAGGACCCTCTAATCCTTGGTAGACCGTTTCTAGCAACTGCTGGAGCCATCATAGACGTGAAGAATGACAAGATTTCTCTACACTTGGGTAAAGACATCAAGCTGAACTTTGACATCAATGAAGTTTTGAAGAAGCCAACGATTGATGGGCAAGTGTTCTACATAGAAACTTTGGATGAATTGGCTGATAAATTTGGGAGTTGCTTGAGGAGTTAGCACAAGAGGATCACCTTCAGCTGGTTTTGACAAAGGAGTGCTGAGAGTATGGTTTCCTGAGTGAACAGACCCAGGAGTATGTACACATCCTTGATTCTCGCAAGGTTGTGAGTGCCTAGAGATCGACCCAGAGATCGATCAGATTACTCGATCCAGGAAGAGATCAATGAGGCAATCGATGGAGATAACTCGATCTGTTCAGTGAACGACCTCGCGAATCGATCTTCTGCTCGATCCATATCAAATCGAGCAAGTGAATCGAGGGAGTGCAATCGATCCAGCCTAGAACGAGGGAGCGATCGACTGGTTGACTCGATCTCAGTGGTAGCAACGGTTCAAGATGGCAGCCTGAATGCTAATGACTCAGGTTCAAAAGGGGCTAATGAGGATGCCAACGTCAACACAAGCCACGATGAGGACTGAAGCGAGCTGCTAGCCCCAAAGGGGGACCTAAAGGAGCTCCCAAATGGGCTAAGGTACGTTTTCTTGGGACCTAATGACACTTATCCTGTCATTGTGAATGAGAATCTGAGTGATGATGAGTTAAAGGCCATTGGGTACTCTCTAAATGACATCAAAGGCCTTTCACCAATGCTTTGCACTCATAGGATTCACTTAGAGAATGAATACACTTCTTCTATTGAACATCAAAGGCGTTTAAACCCGAATCTGAAAGAAGTAGTGAAGAAAGGGATCTTAAAACTTTTAGAAGCTGACGTGATATACCCTATCAGTGATAGCACATGGGTCTCTCCTGTCCATGTGGTACCAAAGAAAGGCGGTATCACGGTTATTAAAAATGAGAAAGATGAGTTAATTCCTACAAGAACA